TTTAAATATAAGAGTGGAAAATTTCTTTTGATACTTGTTAAGGGATTTTTTTGGTATTTAGCAACTGTTATCTGATTTAGGAATCATTTGCGGAAAAAAAAAAAATTAGACTATTATTTTAAGGGTATACAAAAAGCTTACAGTTATGGGGAAGCGTTAAACAATTTTCATCGAAAAATGTTGAAATTTGATGATAATAATAAGAAAGTATAACTGAGAAGAAAATTTGCAGTATTCTTGAAATGTTTTAAAACAACTTTTGAAAATCTAAAAAAAGGCAATTGCAATTATTTTTGTAACTAAGTGCACTGAAAAATGTTGAAAAACTATTTTTTTTTTTAATGCTGACATGCTCATAAATATCAATTCTTTTAATTGGATTTGATGAAATTAATATGATGAAGTTGAGATAGAAGATGAAAAGAATTAAACAAATTGAAGTCTTTCAATTACCGAATATAATTTATAAAATTAAAAAGATAGTTTATAAAAAAAAATCTCACTGAAACATTTTCTTTCTTCACTGCAAAACACATTATTTTGTCATAATCATTTGAAATGAAAAGCTTGGTTGGGAAGCAAAAAAACAAAAAGTGAGTTTTTAATTAAAAGTTAGCGGCCAAAGTTAGCTTTTCGTACTTTCCGAATGAAAAATGATGCTTAAATTGCTAGCTAAAAGCACAGTTTTTTGAAATGATGCAATTTAAGGCGAAGAATTTTCTGGACAATGATAATTTATTGAAAAAGAAAAAGTTGACGATAACTGAAAGATGGAATCACCAACATGTAATTAGTGATATTGTCCAAATCGAAGGTGGTTCATCGGGAACAGATGCAATTATTCCAATTTTAAAAACTGAATTTTACTACGTCATTAATGAATCAAAAAGCATCTTTAACAGTTGTTTTTGATTGAACGTTGAAATTTATAAATTATTGATTCAGTTCAGTGAAAATAGTAACGAAAAAAATGGATTTTTTTTTTAACATTTCACGGTCTATTAATTCAAACTTACTTGTAAAAAATACACTGCATTCATTAATTAATAAAACAAGTAGTATAATTTCTCTTATTAAATCTCAGAAAGTGAGATCCAATAATTTTTTGAGTGAACACAATATTATAATTTTGGAAGCAATTGTCGATATTTTGGAATTTTTCAAAAAGAAAAAAAAAATCCTTTCGCAACAACATTATTCAAATTCATACCTTCTGATACCTATAATTAATGTTTTTTGAGGATTGAGAATATTTAAAGTGATTTGTAAAATTCGCTAAAAAATTGCTTTCCAGTTTTCTTTTGCGCTGAACAATTGTCATGCATAATTAATGTGCGATATGAAAACAAATGTTGAATAATACTTTGTAGATTAATTTAAGCTATATTGCTGATAAATTATTGATAAAATTAGACAAAAACTGCTGAAAAAAACTGATCAATTTGAAAAATTTACATTTTGTGTTTGTAAAAATTATCAATGTAGCGGCAACATTTTCCCTAAACTTCATTATAATGACTCATCTGATAACTGATCCCTTAATTAATAAACAGATCATGTGAATAAAATTTCTAAAAAAGGAAAATGGATTTTAAAAATCAATTTAAAAAATTGCGCTTTTTCTTGCGTGCATCATTAGTTTCATAAAAAAATATAGCAATATTTAATAATAAATTCGAATTAATAATTTTAAAATTCATACACTTGGTCTAATTCGTTATGTTTTGAAAGCAAAAAATCAAATTTGATTTATTAACAAAATATTTTCATTTCTATTGTACTGTACACAAATTTGATTTGGTTGGGCAATACATGGAAGATGAAGATTGATTGGTCATCGGTTTTGAAAATGATACTTTTGCTGCAGGTGAGTTTGGTACCAAACTTTTGCTAGATTTTAAAATTGAATGTAATGGTGCCGATTCTTTTCCACCTGATTGCAGTGTTGACTTGCGATAAGGACTGTTGTAATCATTTGCTCGTGATAATGTTCGATTTTTTGTTTCCATTGTTGTTCCAATTCTTGGTGAATTTCTACCATCGCTTTTTATACCTTAAATATACAATAAAATTCATTAATTTCTGTCCTCTCAAACTTATTATTTCCAAAAACTGTCTGCTATTAATTAATTGAATAATTTAATGATAAGTTAAAATATTTCATAATATAATAAAAAAAAATATATATATTTTTAACATTTTGAATCTAATCAAATATACCACCCACTTTGCTTTGATTCTCTTTGACTATAATCGATAGATTTTTTATATTCTCTTGATCCAAACAATTTATTTGGTGGTGTATTATGAAGACAAAGAATTGGTAATCGAGAGCAATCAGTAAGTTGAAGTAGGATACGATTACAATCCATAGAAGCTACCTTGAAGTATTATGAAATACAAATAATATTCACATCCGAAATCT